GCAAGGGTAATAGTCTTCCAACATTGCTCATTTCAACATTCAGAAACTGACTGTGATTTAATAAATTTCATCACTCCACTAACCTGTCAGTTGAACTGTATGGGAACTAGGGTAAGTTGCTGCACTAGAAAAGGTTTTTCCCTCACGTGCAACAAGTTCTTCCTCCCTGCTGTTAGGTTTATAATGCTGGATTAGGGTTATTGCCATGGTAGCGTTAAAGTGAAAGTAGATCCTATGGCTCTTCAGAAACAATCAACTGCATACATCCACTGAGACAGAAAGAGATGGTTACCTTTAGCAAGGCGTTCCAGCCGCTTCCCATGCTCTGGAGGAATGGAGTACCTGTAGTCACAAACACGTTAAGTAAACAAAAAGCATAGCGGAGCTTGGGGTTGAAGAGCTTTAGATATCATAATAGTAGTAGTAGTAGTAGTAATAATAGGAAATAATGGAGAAAGAATTCCAATTGCTACGCTACCAACATTTATAGGCCAATTTTGTTCTTTTCCAAACTAAGGAAGTCAGAAAGTTTGCTTGCCCATGAGACTCTTACTAGAAATACAGAATGGTAAATATAAGTAAAGTTTATATACAAAATGCTTTTCCATAACAGGTTCTCTCACCATGACTTGGGCTCCCCAAAATGCAAGTAGTTGATGCTGTAGAGATCCATGTCCTCTGTGTGCCAGGCAAATGATGTTTTCCACATTCCAAAGTAGAGATATGGTGTATTCACCCCCTCAATAGTAATGCCACTTTCATTCTCTACTACATCAAGAATTGTATTCAGATGGCCAATATTCCAGTCATCTACATGCTGAAGAAATTAAATGAAGCCAAACAGAAACAAGCAATTAACATCTTATCAGCTGTAATAACTAATATTATTTGTCCTATATTACTGCTAACCTCTGCTCCTTGCCCAGCAACAGGGACAGGTAAGTCTGCACTTGCTTCAGTGACACCCTACAATGGTTAGAGCTCAGCATCAAGGTTAAGAGTTTGTAATCACTACTGAAAACAAGGTAAACCATACACAAGTTAGAGACACCTATTCATAAGTTTGCTTCTTACCTTGTCATAGAGTGTGCCATTAACATCTGCACCATATATTGGAGCATTGAATGTGAGGTTCTTCCAGTATTTGCGTTCAAGGTCTTCAAAATCAGTATATCGAGGGGTGCAGTATCTAAAATAGAAGGCAGTTGCTTTTCACTTTCTTTTTCATAGGCATATCTCATAGAAATGTCAGAAAAAGTAGCAGTCATTTTTTTTAAAAAAAGATTAGTCTTAATAAAAATGTATTATAGAAAACAGATTAGATAAGCACTATGGATAGAGGGAATATGTATAAGTATAAACATGCAGAACTAAGAAGCCAAATGTTCCATTCTTCTTCTTTTCTACTTTTAGTAATAATGTTTATACGCTATGCAGTCAGGCTCAAGTTCTTTGCCAAAAAACTGATTTGCATAATTTGAGAAGGAAAAGACCATTAAGAAATACAGTACATGACTGGATAATTTTATCTCAATTATTCTGGTGATAATCTTTGACAAAGAACACCAGTGTTCCTGGGTGGTCAGCAGGGATAAACACAATTCCTATGAGCCACAGAACAGGACGAAACATCAGTTTCTTATGGGTGCAAGAATTGCAATGCGCAGCAGGGGATCCTTGGGGCTGACTCATGCCTTTGTGTATGAAGATCTGTTCTTTTTGTTAAAACTAAAGGACAGGTCATACATGGGCATTGCTTGGCAGTCATTTAAAAAAAGAAACTAGAGCAGGTAGTTGATGTAGTGCTCTCCATGTGTTTTGGACTACAACTCCCATTAGCCCCACCCAGCATAATTAATGGCCAGGAATTGAAGGTGTAATCCAACATCATCTGGAAGGTGCCATGTTGGCTATCACTGTGATAGACAAAATTACAGAATAGAAATGTATTTAAACTTTCATACTTATCACTATTTGCTATCCTCCTGAACTCCCGAACTGTCATAGCTTTCTTCTGGATGTTATATTGTGTGAAGAGGCCTGACTGGCCTGTGACCACTTGCTGAATAGGAGCTGGGATGTTCACATCATCAATATCATCATACCATTTGCGTGGTTTCCATTCCTTTGGAGGAACAACCTAGAAAGTTCAAAAGACAAATGATACAATGGTTCAAAATAACAAGTAAATAAAACCTGTAGAAGTAACCCAGTAAGGCATATGATTTCATAAGATATTATTCCAAGGGTACGGCTGCATATTCCTGCATTGCAGTGGGTTGGAGTAGATAATCCTCAGGATCCCTTCCAACTCTACAATTCTATGATTCTATAATATAGTTTTCATTGGCATAATGCTTTGATATAATTAGTTGGGACTAAGCCTCATTGAATTAAATAGCTCATACTTCTGAGTAGACATGGTTAGAATTATACACTCATTAAAACGTCTCAACTTTTAATATGGGGGGGGGAATCACCCTTCATCTCAAATATTGTTAAGCAAATAGTATTAGATAACGTGCAAAATTTCCATGTCTGACTATGAAAATCTAAACAACTCAATTTTTATCAGTGAGGAATATTAAGACCTATTTGTACTGAAAATAAGAACTATTTCCTTAGCATCAACGGCATGCAGCTGTGTATCAAAACTTTCCAAAGACACGTCTTCACTGCAAAATACATTTCTCATTAGCACTATGCTGTGGTTCTCAACAAATTACAGTAAGGCAACTTAGGCACATTTGCTCATTCAGCTTTATGTAAAAAAAATAAAACAGGCAGAAAGGGAGTGGCATTCAGGGAAAATTTGGCAATCCTACCCGTCACTAAACATAATGGGTTTGGACTAAACATGGTTTTGGCTTTAGGTGTGATCTCTGGAATGTAACCCCCATGTAAGTAAGTTAACTATACACTATATTTTTCTGAATCATACTAGAGAACATTTTGAACACTTTTGTGGTCTGTTTTACCTTTGCCAGTCCAGCTCTATGAGCTCCTTGCGACTCTATATACGCAATGTAACGGCTGAAGTTTTTGAACTCTTCCATAGTTGGGTGGAATGTCATTATTCTCGCACTTGGATTCGGGTTCTCAAATTCAGATGCCATGGTTCTTGTTCACAATTGTCCTTGTCACATATGAACCAGGAAAAAAGTGCACTAATACAAACAACCATTCAAATAACACAAATAAATAATCAAATCAGGCCTATCCAGGATAGTTTAAGCATAATATATAAAGAATGCTAAACATAAATGAAGGCATTTCCCCTCCCATTTCCCAAAGATCAATAACCCAACTATCTTGGGAGTGGAATGACAATTTTTTTTAAAAAAAAATCCTCCTAACTTTCACCGTGTTTTACTCAACAGCTTGTACCTCCTAAACATCCGTCACACTGTAAAAATCCCCTGTCAGAGAACAAGTACCAGGGTGTACTGCCAACACTACTGTTTGCGAAAGACCCCACCATTCTCACTCTTGGGATACTGGAAGGTGCTCTGATGGTTGGCTACAGAGGATACGGTATGACGATGCTTTTGCTTTTGTTTTATTGAGGGCATTTCCTGACACGGAAGCTTGAGTTACATTTCTCACCAAAGAGTTACTTTCTCCTCCAACAAAGACATTTATCAATCCTGAAAGGCCATGAAGCCTAGGGGAAAGAGGCAGCAGTATGGCTATGAATCTCATCGTTGATGGGGCCCACAAGCAGGAAAGGGTTACTACGCTCGTGTTCTTCTTCTTCTCGGGGGTACCTGGCTCTTCTCGGTGGGAAATAAGATGCTGGACTAGACAGGCCTTTGATATGACCCGGTGTTACGGCCAGCAAGGCTCTTCTTAGGAGAAGGATGTCTCCTTGACAGGGGCACGTGCGGCACTGTTTGATGGGCCGGCCCTGTTTGGTTTTGTACACACGGGAGAGAGGCCTGCCTCTCCAGGAGAAGAAAGGAAGCTGCGCCCGTCGCTGCGAGACGTGAGGGGCTTAACAGCACTCATCTTTGTAGGGGCGCCCAGGGCTGCCTCGGGCTGCGCCTGCGGTTACAAAACCCGGCCTAGGGGAGGCGAGGAAAATCGGGTCGCTCGCTTGTGCGCGGAGGCGGCGAGACCGGCCGTCCCTCACCCCTTCCACTCATGAAGCCAGGGCCTGGCACCACACGGCGCGGCTCTGAGCCCCGAGAGAGATCAATCCAGCGGAGAGGAGAGCCCACCCTCCATCCACTCCCACCCGAAAGGACGGTCTTCCGCTGCTCTCGACGGTTCCCGTTCCTCAAACGCGACTTCAAGCCAACCGAGAGGGGCCCCACCCGGACCCGTCTCGCTCCCCACTCCCCCGTTCTCGCTACCCTCACGGCTCAGTCAGTCAGTCCGCCGCCCGCCCCCGGCACTGCCACGGCTCCCCCAAGAAAGCCCCCTTAATTCGTACTCACCTACGTGCATACAAGCACCACCTCCGCCTTTGCCAAGGCCCAAGGCTCGAGTATTACCTGGGGCCGAAACCGTCCTATGCTCCGCCCCCTCCTGGTTGCGTCGGGGGCGTTTCCCAGTCACAGTCCAATCCCCGCGACCGCCTGGATCGGCGTTACCGTCTCATAGGCTATCTGCAATGCCAATCACAAAAGTCTCGTCCGCCGTCGGGCCCCCCCTTCGCCGCCGCGACGACTGGTCGGATTAGTGCCCCCTGCCGTGAAAGTAGTTCCGACGCTATTTTACGGCTGCGCGAGGCGATATTGCGACTTTGTTTGTTCGAACGACCATAGGCCGCCCCCTCCGCTCGAGTTAGTAAAGAAATCGCTCCGTCTTTCTCTCGCTCCCTTTTTTTCCGCCCCTTACTCCATATTCCCAAGCGGTCTCCGCCCACAACGAGATTCACGTACTGTAATTATAATTCCGATCCAGTCAGCAAGGAAAAGTGTGTGAATCGGCTCGACCATAGAATAGCCAATCAGTGAGGAAGAAAGTCTTGTCGTTAAGCAGACTTTGTGTTTGTGGGGAGACACTGAGGGAGGGAGGGAGTCTCCACCGTTGGTGAGGGGGTTATCTAATAACCGTTTTCATATTGAAAGGAGAAGCGGCATAAGGGTTTGTTGATATAGGGGACAGCAGCGTGCGCGATACCCTGTTATTATTTTGTACGTCTGCTTTTCATTTTACTTAAGCACCGAAAGCGAAAACATGTTGGTTGAATTTCCTCGACGCAAGGAGAAATTACTGCCGTTCCTTTATTTACTTCTCAGCGCTGACGCTGGAGCCCAATTCCAACATGGCTCGGTTTTAAACTGGCGAGGTGGCAAATCTGTATTGTTTATTGTTTTACCAAAGAGATTGTAGAATCGTAAAGCTGGAAGGGACTTCCAAGGGTCATCTAGTCCAACAGCCTGCGACTCAGGAGTCACAACTAAGGAATCCCAGAGAGATGGCCACCTCTGTTTAAAAACATCCAATGAAGAAGAGAGAGGCATGTTGTACATACCGGTAATAATTTAGTAACAATTCGGAAGTTAGCCAGGGGTTACTGGAGGGAGAAGGCTTTTTTCTGCACAGGTGTCCAGACTAAATAAGAGATAGGGAACCTACAGCCCTCCAGATATTGTGGGATTACCGATCCCATCATCCCCAGCCAGAGTGGCCAATGGTTAGGGGTGATGCCAGTTGTGCTCCACCAGCATCAGGAGGACCCTACTTTGGCCGCCTCTAAGAAATGCATGACAGACAGAATCACACCAGGGGCAATAGAGTTGCAGAAACCGACAATTGCCCAAATGTTTCTTTCTATGTTACTCTTAAAAGTGAACCTAGCAGAGGCTGGGACTGTTAATCTTTAATCATATCATATCTAATCTTTGAATGGTTTCCAGAGAGAGACTAATATCCGTAGACTGGCCTTGCAGACATAAGAAGAGCCTGCTGGATCAGGCCAATGGTCCATCTAGTCTAGCATCCTGTTCTCACAGTGGCCATCCAGATGGCTGTAGGAAGCCAGCAAGCAGGATTTAAGCACAAGAGCACTGTCCTTTCACTGTGTTATCTACCAGGCAGTCTCATCTGTTGACTATGAGGAACATGAATTTAAGGCATAATGCATTCCAGAATAAATTCTGGTTTGCCAGTAACAAGATATCATTCATTTGGCATAGGGTAAGGCAGCACCAGACCCATGGCGAGAAAGGGGTACTACTAACAGGCAGGGAAATGTGGAGCCCAGTTCTAGCCATGTTTAGTTATCTCACTGGTTTCATTTGAATTTGCTCCAATGTAAGCATGGACAGTATTGCAGCCATTCATCTTCATGTTTATTATTGGGTTCAATTGTTCTTCAGTTTTCTGCCGCAAACAGCCTAACCCTATTTATCTGGTAATAAGCCCTACGTAATTTAATAGGACTCACTTCTGAGTGGACAGCTCATAAAATTAATGCAGCATACAATTTTCATATGTTTACTACCTTTAAATCTACATGCAAAATCAAATACCAGCTGATTTAGGGTTGTGGAAAACTTTCCAGAAATGTTTATGGAAATTTTCACAATTTATTCCCCCCCGCCCCCGCCAGTAAGCCAACATCACTAACTGAACTGATGCCTTTCTTACTGGGCTTATTTTAATATTAATACAGGGCATACATGTTGAAAATGACCCCTTTGTTTGAAACAGTACAGTTGTCTTTTAAAATCTTGCCTAGAACTGAAGATTTATGCTGGGCAGAGATCTGATTCTAGGGTGATACCAAATCACCTTCTGAGGGAAGACCAATACACCCCTCCGGCTACGTTGGGTATCTCTAATCCTGAGGAAAAACCAAGCATGCTTGTCATATTTATAGAGACTCTTTACTCACATTAGCATGCCATGGCTGAAAAAAGCATTAACCACCAGAAACAGCGCTGTCACCAGCAATAGACACTGATGCAAGTCCTAGAAGGACAGGGATTAATGTACTTACTTAAAATTATAATCTATCCTGAGTCACATGGATGGTTTGGGCTATAAAACAAAAATAACTGCATGTCCTAGTGAGCCACTTGTTTGGCAAGGTTGCCCAGGTCAGACCCCAATGACCATGTGAGTCAAATTCTCCTTTCCCAGCATTTAATTAGGATGGTCCTATTGAACCAGTAGAATTGCTGGGAAATTTTCCGGAAAACCTCTCAGCCACTGATGAGAAATGTCAGTTATTCTTGGGAACTCCTAAGGTTTGAGACAGTAGCACCCGCAAATTTTGGATCAGAAGAAATAAAGACAAGTTAATAAAATGTTGCTGGCTGGTCTCCAAAGACTTCCATAGACACGGTCTAAAAAACTTTGGTTATCCTGAGAGAGCAAGCAGATGACTGACGACTAGCTGTGAGGGAAACGCTGTGTGTTCTCAGCTTCTCCATAGGTCTGGCAGGCACGTTGTTTCATTACTAAAGTCCTGGAGCAACTTTTAATATCATTCAGGATGACACAAGCCATTTTTTATGATGATAAATGGTCTAGAATCACCACCAAAGGAAACATGTAAGGCTGGTGACACATTTATTGTTACCATGGCTGCTCCTGGCTGGAGATTACTTATTAAAAACCAGCAAGAGGGCAGCAGTAGACAGCTGTTTGAAGGGACCAGAATTATTCCTGCTCTCAGACACAATCATAGCCAGAATGAGTGAGAGGAACTTTCTGCCTTCGGCGAAACTAATAAATGAAAATATTACTTTAAGTGGCAAGGGGTAGGAGAGTTTCCCCCCACCCCCTAGATTTGGATCATATCTGAACCTTCTATGTGGAACAAATTGAATCGATTGCAATCTGATTTTACAATAATGTTTTCTTGTTTGAAATAATACCTTTATTTGAGCAAATGCATATTTTAAACCAATTAATTCAAAGTGTTCTTTCTTTGGCTATGTTTGTACTTCAGGGCTGAACTACATGAGCCATATCTCTTTTTTATTCTGTGGATTTATGCATTTTTATTTTTGGCTAAGCTACATTAGTTTATCAGCCTTCTCTAATCCCAGTTTTAAATGTGGACAATCAATTCTGTGGTGCATTTCTAAGAGGTTTTGTGTCAATTTTGAAAGCAGTGGCAATGAAGCCTCTGGTTCCTGAGTTGGCTGAGCTACTGTGAGGTTTAACAGTTTCTGTGAACATTCCATCTGCTGAGGGAGATTATTAGGCTGTGGCTTCATATTGCTCCAACTTTGCCAGATGAAGTAAACAAAACAAAACAAAATCTCTCACATGGAGAATGTGGACTGGAAAGCTCAGCAAGAAGAGGTCCCAGGAGGAAGCAGCACTCACAGGTAAGCAGCCTGAACACATGGAGGCTAAAGGAAGGTATTCCAGAAATGGAAAGCTGAGGGAAGGTTGGATAAGGCAGAGAGGGGTCTGAGGAAAACAAGAACAGAAAAAGATGGTTTAGAAGAGAGCCAGTGTGGTGTAGTGGTTAAGAGCAATAGACTTGTAATCTGGGGAACCGGGTTCGCGTCTCCGCTCCTCCACATGCAGCTGCTGGGTGACCTTGGGCCAGTCACACTTCTCTGAAGTCTCTCAGCCCCACTCACCTCACAGAGTGTTTGTTGTGGGGGAGGAAGGGAAAGGAGAATGTTAGCCGCTTTGAGACTCCTTAAAGGGAGTGAAAGGCGGAATATCAAATCCAAACTCTTCTTCTTCTTAGAAGAGTGAGATAAAAAATGAACTAATGAAAGGGGAAAGAGTTTGTGTGTTCTTGGTAGTAGTGCAAAACTGGTCAAGTTGTCTAAAGAAAGTGAGTACACACTTGAGTACACGCAGAAAGAGTGTACACATTCAAAGGAGCTGAGGAAATAGCAGGTGGCAGAAAGTTGAAGAGACTAAGGGCCTAACCAAATGCACACATGTGTATTAAATGTTCAGTGCAAGTTTGAATATAAAGTAGGATAGTGGTGGTGAGAAGATTAACCTTTTACTCTAAAAGAAGTTTGGGGAGCAAAATCTACTCCCTCCCCTGCCTTAGCTATGTACTTCACTGTTTTATGATGCCCTTCCCCTTCAGCTCAGCTCTGATACCAAAAGTGAGGGGGGGGCATCTTAAAACATCAGAAAGTAAGGTGAAAACACTAAAAGCATGGACTAAAGAGTGAAGACCTTCTCCCTCCCACCGCAAAAGAGGAAGAATAAATTTTGAAGCTTCAAACTAATCTTCAAATTCAAACCAGCAGTCAGGCAGGAGGAAGGGAAGCGTGTACTGGAGGAAGACACTTGATGGCTCCAATTTTCTTTCCCAGCCAGATATCTTCCTGGCACTAGCTGTTTTTTTTTACCCTAAGCCTTCTACTTAGAATCTACTTAGAATGGTTGGACAGTGTTCTCGAAGCTACCAACTTGAGTTTGACCAAACTGCAGGAGGCAGTGGAAGACAGGAGTGCCTGGCGTGCTCTGGTCCATGCAGTCACGAAGAGTGAGACACGACTAAACAACAACAACAAGCCACTTTTTGTTTCTGTCAACCCAAAGGAAAGGATGCAGACTGTCCTTTATGTGTATCTTAATTTTGTTAAGCAGCTCCTTTTCACAGAATTCCTCTTGCACAAAAACATTTAAAAATAAAAATTAGCCTTGCAGTACAAGAGATATGGAGTTGCAGGTGGCGCTGTAGGTTAAACCTAGGACTTGCCGATCAGAAGGTCGGCGGTTCAAATCCCCGCAATGGGGTGAGCTCCCATTGCTCGGACTCTGCTCCTGCCAACCTAGCAGTTCGAAAGCACGTCAAAGTGCAAGTAGATAAATAGGTACTGCTCCGGTGGGAAGGTAAATGGTGTTTCCGTGTGCTGCTCTGGTTTGCTAGAAGCAGCTTAGTCATGCTGGCCACATGATCCAGAAGCTGTACGCCGGCTCCCTCAGCCAATAAAGCGAGATGAGCGCTGCAACCCTAGAGTAGGTCATGACTGGACCTAATGGTCAGGGGTCCCTTTACCTTTACCTTACAAGAGGTGTGAAAGGTAATGGGGAATAAACAAATTGGCATGGGAACAACTCCAAATCCTTTCCTGGCTTGAACTGCTCTTGTGCAAACCCAAATTTCTATTTCTTTTTTTTCTTTTTTTTTTAGCTTTACGAGCACAGATAAGCAAATGGACCTCTGGCTTCAAATCACAAATCACATTTGCCTTAATTTACTTAATTGTAAAAATTATATATTCAGTGCTTTTCAGCACTGCCATGGTGCAACAATCTGGATTAAGGGGTGTGTGTGTGTGTGTGCGCGTGCGTGCGCATAGACACACATTTCGTCTTTCGGGGTGGGGGGAGTTGCGGGAGGGGGAAGAGCTATCAGAATGGGTGGTGCCCAGGTCACTCTTGCCAAAATCTCCAATTGTGCTGACAGGTTCTAAAAGATTGTCAATCCTAAATGACAGACTTTGGAGTGGCTTTAGCTGGAAGTTGTAGGCTATAAGTGGTGTTCTTTCACTTTCATTAACATCCCCACGCCCCCACAAAAATGGCCTACAATATACCAAGAATATTTTCTCCCGATGATGCCTAAAGGACATCTAACTAACAGACTTTGCCATTTTGTACCTTTGCACATTTACTTCTGATTTGGGAAGAACAGATCAGTTGTGGATTTGCCTTGGGAAAACACAACTACTCCCACAGCAAAGGGGAGAGAGAGAGGCAAATGACAAACCAGACCTCACTTTCAGAGAAATAGCTCACAGGTGAACTGCAATTGTAGCTTCAGGTCACTAACATTTGCAGAATGCAAGAGCCACTATTATACCAGACTACAGTGCTGGAACAGTGGCTTATGTGACAGCTTCAGTGAGGAAATGCTGCAGGATGCCTTCTTTATGTGAATGAGCCTGGTTGTAAAGAATGGCTGTGGTGGTGGTGGTGAAATCCTCTGATCTTAAAAATGTAGGAATTTAAAAATCACTAGAGCATAAGTACAAATGACTTGTAGCCTTTTTGTTTAATGTTTCAGATTCTTTACTTTTTATTAACATCACATGTTCCATCTTTTCTCTTTAACCATGAGGACTAGAATGTGCCTTTTTGAAAAATGGAAGTTTGGCATTCTTGGGATAACAACAGGAGCTCTGGCTATACATAAATGTCACTTGTGTTGTATGTAAGCCATGGGATATTTGTTGCCGAGCCTGCCAGACATATAAGGAAGTACAGTGGCGTAGGAAGGGGTGTGTGATGGGTGTGGGCCGCTCCAGGTGTCATCACTGAGGAGGGTGACAAAATGACAAAAATGTGAGGGTTTTTTGTTTTTTTTAAATGGGCTCACTAAACTTTTTAGTTCAGTCAACAAACGCAAAAAAACGCGGCTGGCACTGGGTGCCACACTGCGGGGGCCGGCACTTACCGCGGGGCCTGCAGCATGCCCAAGCTGTGCGTCTCTCCTAGGAGTGATGTGGTGGCTTGGGTGCCTGCAGGCTCCAGGCGATGCCTGAAACAGCAGCATGGGGCTTGCATCTGCCCACCTCCTCAGCCACCCTACAGTTGAGGGGGAAGTTGTGGAGAGGCTCCATGCAGTGCGCCCTGCCTTGGCTTGCCCCCCCCCCCGGGCACCCAAGCAGCTAGCTATGCCACTGAGCAGGTACAAAGTACTTTCATAAACAGCCATTGTTGGGGATTTGTGTTATCAGTCTTGTGAGATGATTAAAGCAATGTAAATTTGTGGGTACATCCATTTCTGGTTCCCTGTTTGCCCCACAGCCCCTGAGGTAGAATGCTGAATTATTTGTGAAAGGATGTGGCCGCTTTTACTTGCTCATGAGTATTTCTATTCAGTCTAATAGAAGAGAAATGGGCTTTTAAAGTCTCCTGGGACCTTGCTTTATAGATGTAATTTACCTTCAAAGTGTCTCAGATATGCCGCTAGAGAGAATTTCTAAGAGTGCAATTGCATTAGGTATGAATGCAGAAGGCAAACTACAGATAAAATGCAGAAGACATTAAGAGAATCAAGAGGGAGTGAGGAAAAGCTAAAAAATATGAAAGGAATGAAACATTATAGAAGTGAGGAAAACAAAGACTGAAAGATTGAAAAGAGGCTGCACAGATTCAGCTAAAGCATGCTAAAAAGGGTGATCTGGAAGGGAGAGAAGAGGATGTTTCAGTGGTATGTGAATATTGGGAGACATGCAACTAAACTGGGCCTTTTATTCAAGAACATGTTAAAGTAGTGGACTGAATTATTTGATGGTATTTTTCCTTGTACATTAAGTGCAAAATTGTTTAAATGCTTACAGATTTAAAGTTAGAATGAGCTGGATTGTGCCATTATTCTTGGTCTCATGCATCTTTATTGTGTGGTATGTCATAACAAAAGAAACCTGTGATATTGTAGCACTCTTTGCTCCTTCTCAGTACAGTGGTACAGTACCTTGATTTACAAACTTAATCCGTTCCAGAAGTCTGTTCTTAAACCGAAACCGTTCTTATACCGAGGTGCGCTTTCCCTAATGAGGCCTCCCGCCACCGGTGCCCTTCCACCCTTCGGCTTCCATTCTTAGACCGAGGTAAAGTTTGCAAACCGGGACACTATTTCCGGTTTTGTGGAGTTCGTAAACTGAATAATTTGTAAACAGGGCTGTTCTTAAACCGAGGTCTTGGGTTACAGACGCTTCAGGTTACAGACTCTGCTAACCCAGAAATAGTACCTTGGGTTAAGAACTTTGCTTCAGGATGAGAACAGAAATCGCGTGGCGGCAGCAGGAGGCCCCATTAGCTAAAGTGGTACCTCAGGGTAAGAACAGTTTCAGGTTAAGAATGGACCTCCAGAACGAATTAAGTTCTTAACCCGAGGTACCACTGTATAGTTGTTGAAAGTTAATTGTTCTGCTTTAAGCATGCTTGAAAAGTTTGCATACTGGTTGCATTGCAATTCTGCATTGGGGCTGCATGTGCTACACAGTGGTGATGGGGAAAATTACATATGCTCAAAGGCGGTGTCCTGTCTTGTGCATGTGCAGTATGAAACAGCTGAAATGTTTGTGATAAATAGGAAGTTCAGGTTTTCAGTCTTGACATTCCCTTCTGAAGAAGCTTCTGGGATCAGGATTGCCAGGACACAACTAGAATACCGTACCATCCAACATTTCTCTGATGAAAATAGGGACGTCCTATTTAATGATGATAATAATAACCCCACCCATCTGACTGGGTTGCACCTGTCATGCTGGGTGGCTTCCAACAGATATAAAAACATAATAAATCATTAAACATTTAAAAAAGCCTTCCCTATACATGGCTGCCTTCCAATGTCTTCTAAAAGCTGTATAGTTACTTATCTTCTTGGCTTGTGGGGTTGCATAACTCCATAGATGCCAACATTTATCCGATTAAAATAGGGACATCCTAAGGAAAAGTGGGACATTCTGGGATAAAATCAGAAACCAGTATGACTTCTGTAAATGCGGGACTGTCCCTGAAAAATTGGGACACTTGGAGGGTCTAGAATACTCTTCTTTCTCCTTCAACCAGAAGGGGAATGCAGATTCATCATCCCATTCTTCCCCTGGCTCTTGCACCCATTCTCCTCTCCTGCCTACTTAAACAAGCAGGATGTTTGTGCTGTTCCATAGGAGAGGGAAAGTGTGAGGAAGATAATATTTTGCGAAGAGCAGGGATGTAGAAGCTACATCTGAAAAATTCCTAAGCAGATAGAGAGGTTCTGTGAGTTATTACCTGGTAACACTCTGGGGCAGAACACCAAAAAGCCAATTTTATGGTATTTGTCACGGTCCGGTTCACAGGCGATCGAAGTCCCAGCTGGGGATGTTGGGATCAGGGGCAAGATGGCGGGGTGGGAGCAGGAACGGGAGTCCAGAAGACAGGAGTCAGAAAGCCTAGATTCCAAGGGTCAGAGAGCCGGGAGTCAAGAAGCCAAGGATCCGATGGTCAGGAAACAAGGAGTCACGAAGTCAAGGGTCCGAGGATCAAGGAGCCAAGGAGTCAAACGCAGAAAGGCAGGGAACGTGTTGCTGTGGCAAAGAGCTGAAGGGAAAATGCTGACCTTATATCCCTTCCCTGCTCTTGCCACCAGGTGCTGTGAGTTACCAATCAGCCTCACCTGTGTGGCCACGCCTTGCCTTTTCAGAACAAACTTAGGAAGGTCCCAGTCCTGCAGAGTCCTATTGGTCACAGGGCCTGGCTCCTGCATGTACACCTGACAGTACTCCCCCCCCATAGGAAAATGGGGTTCCACCCCCGGTCATGGCCCAAGCTTGTCTGGGAACCTCCGATGGAAGGCCCGTACTTTGGCGGGTGCGTGCACGAAGTCGGCCGGCTCCCACGATCGTTCCTCTGGCCCATAACCCACCCAGTCAATTAGATAGTAGAGCTTGCCACGGAGTCATTTCGAGTGCAGAACCTGGGCGACCTGGAACTCATCATGGCCGTCAACCTGGACTGGTGGTGGGGCGATGCTTCAGCTGGGATACGTGAAACACTGGGTGGATCTTCAGGGAGGGGGGAAGCTCCAACTTGTAGGTGACCGGATTGATCTGTTGCAGGGTGATGAATGGTCCCTGGTCCACCTTAGCCGAGGGACGTCCAGTGCGGTGGTGCTCCAAGGACAGCCAGACCTTATCCCCAACCTGGAATGCGGGCCCCTGCTGGTGCTATCGATCCGCTTGCGCCTTACAATTTGCCTTGGCTCTCTCTAGGTGCCGTATCAGGTCAGCTTGTGTTTCCTGGATGTGGGAGACCCGATCATTGGTGGAAGGCACAAGAGATGCCGCCGGTGTGCAGGGATGGTGGTACCTGAAGTTAGCGTAGAAAGGGCTCTGTCCCGTGGAGGCATGGCAGGTGTTGTTACAGGCAAACTCAGCCAGTGGCAGAAGGTCCACCCAATCTTCCTGATGGTGGCTCAGGAAGCACCGGAGATATTGCTCCAGGACTTGATTAACCCTCTCCGTCTGGCAATCTGTTTGAGGGTGGTATGCGGAAGAGAGGCACCTCTCAATATCCAGTCCTTTGAGGAAGGCCGCCCAGAACCAGGACGTGAACTGGAGACCCCTATCAGAGATCACCGCATCCAGGAGCCCATGTAGCCGGAAGACGGGTTCAAGAAACAAGTGGGCTGTCTGTTGCGCTGTGGGGAGGCTCGAGCTGGGATGAAGTGTGCCATCTTGGTGAGTGAATCCACCACCACCAGAATGACCGACTGTCATTTGGACACAGGGAGGTCCACGATGAAGTCCATAGAAAGCGTTGACCATGGCCTGTGGGGGGTGGGTAATGGCTGGAGGAGCCCCAAGGGTCTCTGCCGTGGCACCTTGGTCTGATCACAAGTCTCACAGGACCGCACGTACTTCTTAATGTCCGCCCGAACCCCTGGCTACCAGAAAGCTCAGGCCAATAACTGCAGTGTCTTCGCATATTCCCCATGTCTGGCAGTTCATGCATCATGGCACTGCTTAAGGACCTGGGTCTGGAGCGGCCCCTCTGGAATTTAGAGCCGGCTGCGATGATACACGCACCCATCCCGGACATCAAGCGGCGCACCCCCCCAGTCCCGAAGGCACCGGGCTAGTATCCAACCAGGCTTGGTTGTAGTATCCATCCAACTTGGTGAACAGATCCTGTCGCTGTGCCTTGCCTCTTCAGAACAAACTTAGGAAGGCTCCAGCCCTGCAGAGTCCTATTGGTCACAGGGCCTGGCTCCTGCACGCACACCTGACAGTATTAGCCTGTTTTAGCATGTCCTGCCTGTGTTAAAGTGGTATGGGAAGCAGCAATGGTGCCACTCTCATTATATGAGAATTGACCCTTGGTCAGGTCTCAATTCAGCATGAGAATAATAGAGCATTTGGAAGGGCTGGGAATATATTTTTAGATTGTTACCAAGCCTGCACATGTTGATGTGTCCTAGTGCACACGTCTCCATTCACATGTTTCACAAACACATGCTCCCTATGGCAACCAATGCCTGAGGCCTGGGTCAGTAGCTTACACTTCATTATAGTGGCAGGGCTAGATGGAGGAGGGGAGAACTGTTGCTGTATAAGAGTGTTTTTAGGGATATGGGAGGGTGAAATGGAGGCCCAGATGCATCAGGGAAATGTTTGAATACAAAAGGCTTGGGCAGAGTGATAGCTAGGAGATGGAGAGAAAAGGAAGTAATAAAACACTAATTCATACCTTCCAACACTACTCAGATGAAAATCAGGACATTTTCATCTGAGGAGTGCAAGGTGTTTCTGACTGGGGGGAAAGGGTGGTGGAGGAAATAGGTGCACACTTACTCAGTACATGCTCAGAGGCACTACTGCCATCTCTTCATTACCTCACACATAACCGGATGAGACCCTAGCACTGGGCATCAGCCCTCGTTCCCTTTCCTCCTGCCCTCTCATCCATCTTGCTAGTTGCTCAGGACTCAACCATTGCCGTTGCCAGCTCCAATCTGCACTGAAGCCCTTTTAATCCCTGCCCCCTCCCTGTCTCTCTGAAAGGTGCCCTGGTGAATGACATAATCACGCCGGACCATCAAGCTTGCAGATCACCAAATTGCGAGGGGAAGAGAGGCAAGATCCATGCAGATCTGATCCAAAAAACCAACCTTGGAGAGTCCAATCCACTGCATGGATGGCAGGTGAGTCTCAGACCCTGCGTGGCCTCTGCGATCTGCTGTTGCCACTCTCTCACTCACTGTGAGAGGGGAACAAAGCCTTGAAATTGGGACACCCCAATTTCAAATCAGAAGCTTGACCTCATGGGCGTAACTAGGATTTTTGTTAGGGGGGACATGCCTTTTGTTCGGGAGGGCAGAACCTCAGTTTTTATTGGTTTTTATTGATTTAAGGGGGGCAGCTGCCTCTCCCTGCCCCCCCACCCCCTTGGCTATGCCCATGCTTCATCCATCAAAACTTAGGAAATATTCCCTGAGAAAATTACACATTATTTTAACACAGAGAACAATCACAAAAAGCCATCTCTGGCTCTCCTCATTACTCCAAATATTTCCTCTACAAAAGGAGATATCTTGGAGAACACTTCCCCAATAGTTCTTTCACTTTCAAATCTTGCCTTAAGGGCATATTTATGTATAAATAGGGTGGGTCAGTGACCTAGATGCAAGAACTAAAGTATTTACCATCTCAAAAGAATGGTCAGACTGCCCAGGTAATGCAATCAGTAAAACATCAGGTATTCTGGCAGACAGAAGAGAAGCCTCATACTCCTATTTCTGTTGGAGACCACTTTACAGATGCAGAATGGTGGACTTCGGTTCCCAACGCAGTAGAAGATTCAGATGTTTTAAGGACCTCAGGGCCAAATACAAAAATCAGGAGGTTGTGCAATTGAATGCTTTGCCAATTTGTGGTTATCAGTAAGCTACATTTTTTCCTCAGATCTGAAAAGAGGACAAAATCTAAATTAACTGGTTTAACTTGACCAGCGCTCTACCCCTGCCCAGATAAATGTACAACTTCCAAGTTTTAAACAAGGGTTGCCCCAGGGGGTGCATAAAATGTCATTGTTAATCTGTCCCAAGACTTTTCATGCAGCTCAGATGAACAGTAGGGTACCAGCCCTCCCTGGCTGTGCTTAGATCTGAGGACACCTCAGTAAGAGAGCACATAAAAAGATTAAAAATGGCAAATCCAGGGTAGCAATTGAGTGCCCACCAACAGTATGGTGCAGTTCCAGATAAGGAAATACAACACCAATACCCCCGCTTCATCTGTTGGTAACTGCATTATTTGGAGGGATAGCTGAGGGGAGGAAGCCATTGAGAACCTTACAAAATATTGATTCATTTAGAATATTGTTGTGAAAAGTACTGAGAAATTCCTCTCAAGACATACATAAAAGGGGGAGCACTTTCATTCTGAGCACTTTAATCTTGCCCACTTAAGTGATCCATTACACATACTGATTATTGTGGGATTATTCCCATATACTGCAGTAACTCTGGATACTGGGTGGGAGTACCATAACTTCCCCTGATGGGAGTATATTTAGCTTGATTTGTTTCTGATTACCTGCACTAGTGCTGTGCGCTCAGAGTGAAGTTGATATAAGCACATATTTGTGGGGCATGAGCAAAACTCCAGTTGAACTGAATTTCTGATAACATCTTTGAACTTGCTTCAATTTGCTGACTTGCTTTTTAGAGACATGAGCCTCCCCTGGCTTGGTAATCCAAGGAGTACTTTACCCTCCCATCTTTCTCTTGAAATTCCACACATTTGTCCTCACTTTTTATATATATATAAAAGCCTTAGCTCATGGAGCCTTTGCTCTAGCCATGACCCCAGTGAATAAAGTGAAGGCAGTCTTTGAAGAAAGGATGGGATAGGATAGTGCTTTATTATTTAGTGTTGTGAGGTTCATTTATTGCTGCTGTCAGAGCAGTACTGCAGACCGGTGGCAAGTGAATTCATCACAGAAATGGTATTCAGGGGTGGTAGCTGCTAAATACTTCAGATCAAGTAGAACTTCTGTGTTGAATTCAGAAAATGTATTCCTAACACTTTTAGGTCACTGCATCCAAAATGGTGGTAGTGAGCTTGAAATCTGGCATGTTCATTAAACCTTCTTGTGGTTCACACCATTTATTGTTCATTACATTAATGTATGCCCCACTCTTCCTCTCATCAATAGTTTTTTTAGACAGGCTGTCACTGTGCACTGAGTAAATAGAGGAGAAAGGCTTGAAATGGATTCAGCTAACCAGCAGTGGATCTTTTCATTCTGACCTGATCTCTCCAGGATGGGCTATTCTCTTACCATTTTGCTATCTCGTTTGGAATTGCTATCTGATTGAAGAACAGTCATTTATAGATAAGACTAGTGGTAGATAGAAGAGTTTCAGTTTCATGGCTGGATAGTGGATTTTCACCACCCCCAAGCAATTTTCTACTTGCCAAAAATAATTAGCATGTTAGTACTCTGCTGCTGTACTAAGCCAGTCATTAAAGCAACAGAAGAAGGATGTATGTACAGCTTTTCTGGAAGCATTGATGGCTTGCCCTGCATAAAGAATCCAGAGAACCATAGTACACTTCAGGACTAAAAACAAGCATTTTGAAAATAGGCCCCAAGACTGTGGGTCCATTATTTCCTCTACACATTTCAATTTATTTACTTACTTATTTATCTATATTCCTTTCAGGTGTATGCAAAATATGAAAATGAAAGGAAATTGTTCAGACCTGGGGAGTAATAAGCTTATTCTAATTATTCTCCCTGCATCTGGGCAGAACAAAATCTTGCATCCACTGAGCCCCACTGGGACCAATTTGCAGGTGAGGTAAAATGCCTCCTCTCACAGCTGCTTGCCTTACCTGAGCAGACATAAAGTGGGAATTAGCAAAAAATGGAGAACATCTAAACTCCTGAGAAATAAGAAGTGGACATATGGAATATGGAAGCTAAACTTGGTTATCAAGAGCTCAGAGTTACTTATTTTGTCACCAAATCTCATCTTCCTCAGTTTAATTCTACCAGACAGGCAGTCTGGTATCCTAGTATATTCTAATGTCAAACTCAGTGTAGACTCTTATGTAGCCAGAACAGCGCCATCCACACACAGGAGGGAAGTATCAGCAGGCTCAGAGAAACCACAAGGTTTTCAGATTTATTTTTTTTAAATGAGTAAATCCCCCTGTAAGAAGGGGGGAGAGCTCAGGGGCCACAGAAGGATAATTTCCTGAGATTTTTAATAAATGGAAAACTGGAGAGGGGCTGACTAGAATCCAGACAGATGCACTCCACACTCCAGTTTTGTTGCAGCTCCCAACTGTAGATAAACATTATCACATGTCTAATGTGGCAAATAATTTATAATAGTTATCCCATATATCTTCACAGCAGTTCTTTGAAGTAAGTCATGGTTAACTTAGCTTTACAGATGGGTAGAAATGTAGTGTTGGAGGATACCTAGTGTGCATAGTTGATAGGAAAACCTTGTCTGTCCATGCACATTGGACAGCCTGCAGCTAATAAATGGCCAACTCTGTTCAATAGGGTTGCCTGATCTCAATCTGCAGAATACAATAAAATTGCATCTTAGGCACATTTACTTTGTGCGATTTCAACTATATGCAGTTGAAGGCTGGCTGGTTGAAATTGCACAAGTTAAATTCAAGCAAGCTAGAGACCTTAAAAGCTCTCTTTGCACCAGATCCACTTAAGGTTACTTGGTGGATAAAGAGTTTTTAAACTCTCTGCCTTGCTTGGGTGGCAAGGCCTTTTCAGTGTGCCTGCTTTGGGATGTGCTTACAAGAGCTCATAGGAATTCAGATGGGCCTGTGAGATCTTGCATGAGTATCCTAGAGCCATCTGAGTTCGCGTGCGAACTCACACAAGCATTGCACAGCTGGCCTTTCCTCACAAGCAAGGCAGAGAGCTCAAAAGCTCTTTATGCGCCAGGTAACCCAAGTGGAACCTGTGTATAACGAGCTCTTAAGCTCTCTGACTTGCTTGGGGGGCAAGGCCTGCTCAGTGCACCAGCCCTGGGATGCTTGTATGAGCTCAGAACAAGCTAATGGACAGGCTTGCTCTTAAGATTCTATAAATATTAAAGATACAGTAACAGACATCATCACTGGGTGTGTGTGCAAGGGGAGCTGTGGAATAGGAGAGAGGAGGATGTGGCGTGGGGTGGTCTGTGTGCAAGGGAGAGTTTGAAAAGGACAGTTAGGTGAAATGGGTGATTAATTAAACAGAATTAAATTAATACACAAACACACATACGTGTAGTTATTGAAAACAGTAGATGGCAAGCATAACCTTAGGGCACATTTTCTGCTTTCAGTCTGACAGGAGAGAATGTCTCTTCTAAAATGATGTCATACATCTAAAAAAGTAGGTGGGTTTGCTTCAGAACTATTGTTTTTACTCATATACAAATATAATAGATGAGCTGACAAAACATATGATTAATTATTTAATTGAGTGAGCTGTACCAATAAACTCACAATTTTCAGATGCTTGCTCTCTTAACAAAATCATCCAAGCTGCAGTCTTCTGCACATTTACCAAGGAATCAGCTCTATTGAATAAACATATGATTGCACTGTCAGGTATTAGGTTTTGCTTTTGGAACTAATAGTACATCTATGTGTAAATGTAACAGTAGAACAGCTAAACAGAAAGGCACCACATCCAATTTTCCATACCAGGAGGTGGCTTTTCAGTGAGGTGGTTTGGAATAGTTTCAGAACAGTGCCACTTTGCATATACAAATCATGCTCACTAATAGCTAATCTCTCAGTGGAAGAGAGAAACTGGAAGAGAGAACTGATAATGCTTAGCTAGGGGTTTGAACCTGCTCACACTTCCACTTGCTGGCTTTGCTGCTGCTGCAGCTGCAAACGATTGGTTTTTTTTAAGGCTGCTAATAGGTTTTTCAAAGGCTGCATTTAACTGTTTTAATTGTTTCACTTTAATCACATTACATATTAATATTGTATTCTTCATTCTGTAAGCTGTACAGAGAATGTATGTTGATGGGTGGTCATAAACATAAGGTTGCTAAATAGAAAGAAACCTATTGAATATTGGGTGGTGACTTTTGATAACACGAGCAATAGCTAAAGCACTGTCTTCTAGAATCCTGCTGAGACTAAGGCAGCTGCTTTTCCACCTGCAATAACATTGCTTCTTGTTTCACTGCAGCCCCAGCAGGTGTATCCAATTGGTATAAATTAGCTAAGGCACAACAGTAGACCTTTGCTAGATACAGCAGGAGTTCTGAAGCTGAGGTTTGCAAGGTAAGTGCTGCTTTTTCCTTGTTCTGCTCCCTGTGGCTTTTGAATTTAGTCACCTATAGGAAACCATCTGAAGCAATGCATACCATGTGGGTTCTCATAATAGTCAGTAGTGAGCAGGCTGCAGAGAGGGATGAGCTAGGGCATACAGCTCAAGTCATGCAAGACTCCTTGTATTTCATGGGCAATTTTCATGGGCAATTTTCATGGGTGGATGCAGACTCTCAGCTTCTGAATTGCCACACAATTATTACTATAACATATGTACAGCACAAGAGGCATGTTTTTTAAATGCTATACTGAACATTTAAGTTGCACAGAGGGAAGGAAAAAGGTCAGAGGTTAGTGATGGCAGTGGAGGAGTAGGTAGCATGAGGCTGTACTGATTCTAATTTAAGAGACTGGTGCTGAAGAGGGAGAAGGAATTGTACTATTGTCACCCGTGATTTATTGAGCCAGGTTTCTGAAATGATAAGTGTGAATGGGGGCTTTATTCCAATACAAATAGCAGATCAAGACCATGGTCTGGATTGGAACCGTCCTGGCAGGTGGCCTGTTTTTTATTCTTTAAAAATATAAACACATCTGCTAATATTGTAAATGGTACTACATTTAGTCTGGCCCTTAAGATGATTTTGGATGGATATTAGATAGTCCTAGTTTAATAGCTCTATGAATAGTTAGGACAAAATGTTAATCCATGTTTGGAAGCGTACCAGCTCTTTGTATAAGTTGCTGGAAGCATACAGCAGGTTAAATCTTTGTGCTTTGCTTGTGGGCTTTCTGGAGACTGTTGGCTGGCATCTGTTGGAAGAAACCGGGTGCTGGACTGGATAGACTTTTGGTCTAATCTTGCAGAGATCTTAGGTTCTTATGAAACAGTGAGCAGTGTTCCTCACTACTGTCTCTTTTCCTTCCTACTCTTTCTGCAATGCAAACTAAGGTGACATAAATAACAGCTAAAATGCACAAAATGCAGCTCATTTTGCATTTTTTGCTGGAAATTGGATCCTGACAACCTGAGCCAGATGCTGTTTCTCTCCAGTCTTAGTGGAGCTTTGTCCCTGGCTTGAGTGGATGATGTTGCCCTAAGCAGCTATTTGCTAAGTTTTGTTGATGAGATGCCTTGACTGCACATATTATTACACAATGAGTGTACTGAGTAGGGACATTAAATTGCCTTTAATTGGAGCAGCTTGACTTCTTCTGTTCCTTTTGGTTGCTCTGGCAACTAAAGGCAATTGAGTCCATGCCTGATAGTTAATGAGGGGACACTGCTATTCTCAATTCCTGATGAATCATTATAGCACTTCCCCATGTGCCACAAACTTTGGCATGTATCATCTAAAAGCCATTCTTGATTATGACCTACAGTATCAGAATGTTCCCACCCTTTCCTCCATATTTTCTTGGGGTTATGGATCTGAATTTCACATAAAGGCCACCTGAGCTTTTATTTAAAACTGTCCCCTTATTCTGCAGCCTTCTCACTGATCTTCACTTGCTGGCTCTGTCAAGCCTTTTTAAATTTTGATTTCCTCAAAATGTCCTCCAACATCACTGGTGCATAGGGTGCATAGGTAGAGGTGGGTGAATAGTCCTACACAGGAAAGGTTGTGTGTTTTCAGTTTGCAAACTGAAAAGCTAACACATGCAGAACTCAAATCCATCCAGCAAATCAGTTTACATGTGGGCTAAACTGAGTTTGAATGCCAGAAAAGATTATAGTGGAAGGAAAGACCTGCCTTTCTTGAGCAGGTTAAAGACTGGTTAATTACCCAAAGCCACTAGAAGATACTGCTCCTGCTGGCTGATGTCTTCATGTATTTCTCCCTTCAAGTAACATTGTTGTTTCCCCTTTACTTTTTAGTTTTAATACAAGGATGGGGGACTTGTCATCCTCCAGGTGTTTTTGGACAGAGGCAGATTTAGAGGAGTGCAACTGGTTTGGCTGCATTGGGCGTCAAGCCAAGAAGGCACCTCAACACTGACAAATAACAGAAGCCGAGAGGTGGGAGGGGACACCAAATTTTGATGTCACAGTTTTAAAGCTCAAAGTCCTCCACTGTTCTGGACTACTGTTCCCATCATCCCTGGTCTTGCTTTTTGGGCTCATGGGTGTTGGATATTTGAAGGGCTACAGGTCCCCCATGCCTGTTTTAAAATAATATGTATAAGCTCCCATCAGGTACAGGCCTATGAATAGCCGACGGCCAAGGCAACACAGCACTGCTGGTCTAAAGACAACTCCTCCCTCTTGCATTGTTTAGAACTAGTAAGTTAAGAGACACTCCCAAAAAGGAAAGCTGAATATGTCTTTGTTCCGTGGCCACTAAGTGATCTTGAACTAAAGCCTGGTAGAGGTGTTGGCAGCAGGCTACTGAGACTTCATTTTTGTGTCTACCTGTTCAAATAGCAGTGATGGCAGGTAAAATTTTGACTTGGTAGAGCTGCAATTTCTAACCCTGCTGTTTTCATCACAATAGGTCTTGTACAGCACTTATTTCATACCCTCCAACATGCCCCAGAGGAAAACTGGAACACACATATTTCAGGGCCGCGATCTTGTGAGAGCCAGGTGACTTGAGTAAAAGCACCCCACCCCCAAAATGTGTTTTTTTTTAGGGCCATGTGACTCTCATGAGAGCACGGCCCCCCAAAATGGGATGTCTCACTTAAATCAGGACAGGTGTTATTTAGGAACATGTGCCATTACACATGTGCAGAATGTCACGGTCTCATAATCTCTAGCCCCATCCCCGTCAAGTATTCTTTGCACATCTATGGACAAGGAAAGAGCTTTCATGTAAGAAGGCCTAAATATGATTTTCAGAAGATTGACTCCATACCTTTTATTTAGAACAGTGTTTCCCAACCGGTGTTCCGCGGCACACTAGTGTGCCGCGATACGTTGCCTGGTGTGCCGCGGGAAAAATTGGTGGGGGGGGGAATAAAGGGGGAAAAAATTATTCCCCCACCGCCAGGCGTGGGGCTGGGGCGGGGGAAGCCCGAGCTTCCCCCTCCCCCAGAACGGGACCCAGAGCCATGCCGAAGCTGCGCGCAGCTTTGGCATCGCTCTGGGAGCTTGCGGGGCTGGGGGAGGAGGAAGCCCTCCGCCAGCCTCCAAACCATGTCGGGAGACAGCGGGATGGCGCGCTGCGCCTCTTCCGCTGTCCCCCGAGTTTGCAGGGCTGGCGATGGGGAGGAGCAGGCTTCTCCCCCCGCCAGCCTTCCAGCCAAGTCGGGGGGCAGCGGGAAGGGCGCGCTGGGTTTCTCCGCTGTCCCGGACGGCTTTCAAAAGCCTGCCTTCAAAAGCCGTCCGGGACAGTGGAGAAACGCGCTGCCTTTCTCCGCTCTCCCGGGAAGGCAGGCAGGGGGGAGCAAAGACTTTTGCCCCCGCCCACCTTCAGAAGAGGTCCAGGACCTCTTCTGAAGGCCGGCGGGGGGCAAAAGTCTTTGCTCCCCCCTGCCTGCCTTCCCGGGAGAGCGGAGAAAGGCAGCGCGTTTCTCCGCTGTCCCCGACGGTTTTTGAAGGCAGGCGGGGGGGAGCAAAGACTTTCACCCCTGCCTGCCTTCCCGGGAGAGCGGAGAAACGCACTGCCTTTCTCCGCTCTCCCAGGAAGGCAGGCAGGGGGGAGCAAAGACTTTTGACCCCCGCCGGCCTTCAGAAGAGGTCCAGGACCTCTTCTGAAGGCGGGCGGGGGGCGAAAATCTTTGTCCCCCCTGCCTGCCTTCCCAGGGGCTTTTAAATCGCCCCGGACAGCGGAGAAGTCCTCCGCTGTCCCGGGCGATTTTAAAATGCCGCCCGCTAGCATTTTAAGATTGCCCCGGACAGCGGAGAAGTCCTCCGCTGTCCCGGGGTTTTTTAAAATGCTGGGGGTGGGAAGAAAAGCCCTTGTCCCCCCCCAGCCTTCAGAAGAGGTCGGGGGACAGACTGTCCCCGAACCTGGTCTGAAGGCGGTTTCCCTAGGAACGCATTAATTGATTTTCAATGCATTCCTATGGGAAACCGTGCATCGCAAGACGAAAAACTCGCAAGACGAAGAGACTTGCGGAACGAATTAATTTCGTCTTGCGAGGCACCACTGTATCCGGAGAGGCGTCCTTCAGGCGAGTTTTAATTTTAATTTTCCTTCTCCCACTTAATGCCCCACGCTCGCCCGAGCAGCTTGCAGTCCTCGGTAACCACGGCGACCCGAGGGAGGGGAGGGAACAGGGAAGTCGAGGGCGGCGGCGAGCCGCGATGACGTCAGTGGGCCGCGGCGCCTCGCCCTGGCACGGTGTGAGAGCCCCGGCTAGTGGCGCGAGCTTCAGAATAAGTGGGATCCGCGTGCACGAGACCGAGATTGCAGGTAAGGAGCTCAGCCCTGGGCAGGAGGAAGCGGGGCCGCGCGTGCGGGCCACATCCCCACAGAGAGCGAGCCTCCCCCGGCCCACCACTCCGGGCAGGTCCACTCGCATGAGGGGGCGGCGATGGCGACGGCCAGCAGCTTGCCTGCAATGCCATCCCTCGAGCAGGCGAGGAGCCCGGAGGCTACCAGATGCGAGTCCTCTTTCCCACCCTGCTCGGGAGTCCAGAGCACTTGGTCGCATTCAGGATCTAGAGTGGGGAAGCGGGGCTTGTGTCTGGGCTGGACACATTGGGCTGCCTGTGCCGCTCGACCTGCGGGGAGAAATCAGGGTGGGAGTCACGACCGTGAGGCAGGGCTGCCAAGTGTGGCAGAAGAGGACACGGCCGTCGCACCTGTCCTTAGGTAGGAGCTTCTTCCGTGTCGACCTGCTGCCCTAAAGTCTTGGCTTTTTTCTTGGCTTTTTGGCGGTTGGCACAGAAGGAAGACAAGGGGGAGGGAAAAAAATTGAAACTTACACTTTCGTGCGTCCCTCCCGGCGTGACGCTGCGCACTGACGTCACGGGGCTGTAATGGTGGTGTGCCTCGAGATTTTTTTCATGAAACAAGTGTGCCTTTGCCCAAAAAAGGTTGGGAAACACTGATTTAGAAATT